ACCTTAAGGATCACATGAACATCCACACTGGAGAGAAACCATACACATGTGATCAGTGTGGCAAAACATTTATGTGGGCTTCAGTACTGAAGAAACACCTGAAAGTTCATACAAAGGAGAAGCCACATTCATGTTATTTGTATGGAAAGAGTTTTTCATGTTTACAATTTTTGAAAGAACATCAGAAAATACACACTGCTGTGAGAGAGTACATGTGCTTTGAGTGTGAAAAGACTTTTACTAGCAAAGTGTTTAAAACAGCATGAGAGGATTCACACTGGAGAGAAACCGTATCACTGCACTGCATGTGGCAAGAGATTCAGTCGGTCAACAAATCTGAAAACACTCCATTATTATAAGTTTACACCACTGATCTATAATAGAGAACTGAATTGCTGATGATGTTATAGAAGTGAAGCCACCGCGCCACCATATTGCTATTCCCTAGTGCTCCCACATATTCTACTGAATTAATAGGGAATCGTACGATTTTAATGAGAAAACATCAGATATAAGAACACTGACTTGTTAGGTGAAGTATTCCTGTACATTCTTACAACACAAACGTCCTAAGCATGCACATTTGGTTATTTGTTTAATATTGGGATTTTCTCTTGTGTGTTAAAAAGTTACGTATCATATTCATAACAGTAGCAAACATTAGATGAACATCAGATGGACGAGATCCTCAACATATGTATTACACATGACAAAGTACACATTCTGAAATCTTAATAAGGGTTTAAGAGATTTAACACCAGGAGACTATATAATAGCAACAAACAACATTAGGTTATACACTGCTCTCAGAATTGTCACAACACCACTTATAAAACCAGAGTCACTCCATAACAATAAACAATCAATCAATGCACATCAATTAGAAACAATACCAAAATAGAGACCCTTCAGGTCCGTCGTCAAGGGGGGCATTGGGGCATTTATTAAAATAAATAAATAAATACAAAAAACTATGATTCACTTACCCTGTGTGCAACATTTGGTTTGCATACTTCATTTGGCTGTCGAGGTGTTGATTACAAGAAGACAATAAAGAAAAGCACATTTTTAAAAATGTAACTGTACATGCTTTATTGTTCAAGCAAGACTGGATAAAGCATCAGCACAAAATGCATTATTAAACTGTAGATGGGCACAATTGATGTAAACAAAGTTACATACATTTAGAATTACATATATACATACAATTGTATGTGCGATACATCAGCACATTTCTACACTACAGTTCTACAAAAGATTCAAGCATGTGCTTTCAGATTGGATGGTTTCATATGAAGACTCAAAACCGTCAATAATCACTGCTACTCTGTGTTCAAACAAAGGAGACATAATTCTGTGCAAATCATCTGTCTGCCCATACAGTTGAAAACTTCAGAGATCAAGGTGTTTTTAACATTTCAAAACACATTCTCATGTTAGCAGACAGATTACACTTTCACATGTGACCAACAATTCCTCAACAAATATAAAATATCATAATCAAATATGATCAAAATATTCATCTGACGGTGGTGACAAAAACCTGAATCATTTTAACTATCAAAACCACCGAATCAATCAATTACTGTATTAAACAAACACAACAAACAGTGAGTATGTTACTGTTTATAAAGCTTTTATTCAAGATTCACATTTAAGTATTTTGATATATCATTGGAACACAAATACAGGCGAGCGCTCCTCCCCCACCATGGACGAAATCCTCCAGCGGCTCACCGAGGTTAGCATCCGCCAGCAACAAATTGTTGAGCACCTCGCCACCCGTCAAGGAGAGACGGAGCAGGGACTTGCGGCACTGCGTGCCGCTGCCAGACCCCCGAGTGCAAGCCGCGAAGCGGCTACCCAAGCTGACCCCTCATGATGACGTAGAAGCCTTCTTACAAATGTTCGAA